CTGCACACACGGTCACACTGCCTCGGTCTGTGTTCTCCTGCACACACGGTCACACTGCCTTGGATCTGTTTTCCCTGACAATCCACTGCCGCGCTGCTCAGCCCTGTTGTCCATGGGCGGTGCTCTGGCACACTCAGGACCCCCCTGCTCTGGTGTTCGGTCCTCCCCGGGGACAAGGACCGCGCACACCCAGCCCCTGCTGCCCCCACAGCGGCCGAGCCGGCGCTGCCCGCGGGGCTGGGCGGGCTCCGGGGATGGATGGCTGGAGGGGGGAGGATGGGTCCTCCCGGGCGTTCTCTGCTCCGCAGCGCTGTGAGACACGACAGCAGGCACGGAATGGGGAATCTGCTCTGAATCATCACGCCGTAGGAACCTTACACTCACTAAACCACCTCTTGTTCCTTGGATCGATTCCATCCATAATTCTGGGAGAGATGGCTGAGGAGTGGTTTTGGCAAGGTGACACCGATTGCTTTCTCTCCATCTAGAGCTTTTTGGGTTGTGTGGCTCCCTTGGGTTTTACATTCTGTGCTGAGATGATTGTAACCCTTCCTCTGGGACGCCTGAGAGCAGCTGCTGTTTCTGTCTAGACACCCGGGCAAGGATGGATGTGACGAAGAGCTGTTTTCCTCCTCTGGCTCGGGATTAAATCTCTCTGTCACAGGTAAGGTCTGCACAGGTTTATTTGCTGGGGTGAATAGAAGGCAGGGAAGGTTTCATTCTTCCTGCTGCCACTTCACGTGGAAGGGCTCTGCACAGATGGTGGGGGGTGCTGTGAAAACAAAGTCATTTCAGTGAGTCTTTCTGCCTGAATTAACCTGCCCCCCCGCACAAATCACAGGCACTGCTTGTGTAGTGGGAAATGGACCTTCCCTGGGAGACAGGAGGGTTTAACACTGCCCGAGTATTGTTCAAAGATGTGTTGTTATTCATATGCTAACTGCTGACTTGCTCAGGGATGCTCCCTGCTTCCCTGAGTTGCTCTCTGCCATCTCCTCCAGTCAAATATCTCCTTGTAACACTGGCAAGCAATTAACAATCATTCATAATTACAGGGTAAAAAGCTATGCAAAGAAACTCTCTCATTAGAATAAGAATATACCAGAGTGCATTATACAAACCATACATAATGAGAACATGTCATTTTCAAAAATTAGTGACTAAAGTGAAGAGCCATGGGTGACTTTTAAGGAGATTCAAATGCCCCAAATATCAAAGGTATTAAGCAGTAACTCAGTGGAAAACTAGAGCAAAAACAAGAACAGTCTACTAGTACTTGGGCTTTGTTGATAAAAATAGCTTGTAAACACTAACAGCATTTACATACTAATGAATCTCTCACTGACCACTAAATAACAGGGTATCTCTGGTTTTTTTCTTCAGACCAGGGCATTCCTCTAAGGAAATGGATACGTCTTCCCAAAAATACCCAGTCAAAAAGCGAGTGAAAATCCATCCCAACACAGTAACAGTGAAATACACTTCTCATTATCCCCAGCCAGGAGAAGAAGGATGTGAGGATGATAATGAAGATCCTGGAGTATTTAAGGAGGATAATCCTAAGAGAAGACTACTGAGTGATGGGAAAAGGAGAGAAAGGACTTTTTTTGGTACAATAGACACCAAGCCAGCACAACTGCCCAAACCCGGTGAGGTGGGACAGTGCCAGCGTTTTCCTGAAGGGAATCCCCTGCAGTCCAGGAGGACATGGGCAGTCCTGTTCGGCTCTGCCGTGGCTCACGGCTGCGTGGCTCTCATCACCAGATTGGTTTCTGACCGTTCCAAAGTGCCCTCCCTGGAGCTGATCTTCATCCGCTCGGTCCTGCAGGTGCTGTCCCTCACTGTGGTGTGTTACCACCACGAGCCTCCCTTCGGCCCCAAAGGCTACAGGCTCCGGCTCTTCTTCTACGGGGTGTGCAACGTGGTCTCCATCACCTGTGCCTACACCTCCTTCTCCATAGTGGCCCCCAGCAATGGAACCATCATGTGGAGGGCGACCACCACGGTGTTCAGTGCCATTCTGGCTTTCTTACTCATGGATGAGGGAATGGCTCACGTAGACATAGTTACTGTGCTTGGCAGCGTGTTCGGCGTTTGCCTGGTCATGATCCCCAACATCGTTAAGGAGGAAAACTCTTTGCTGAGCACCTGGAAGGAAGCTTTTGGCTACACCATGACCGTCATGGCCGGCCTGACCACTGCCCTCTCCATGATAGTCTACAGGTCCATCAAGGACAACATCAGCATGTGGACAGCCCTGTTCACCTTCAGCTGGACGGGGACGCTGTGGGGAGCGGCCACCATGTTCCTGCTCCAGGAGCCCATCGTGCCCCTGGATGGAGAAACCTGGAGCTACCTCCTGGCCATCTGCCTGTGCTCCACCGCAGCCTTCCTGGGGGTCTACTACGCCCTGAGCAAGTTCCACCCTGCGCTGGTGAGCACCGTGCAGCACCTGGAGGTCGTCGTCGCCATGGCCCTGCAGCTCCTCGTGCTGCGCATCGTCCCTGGCACCTGCGACCTGCTGGGGGCCGCCGTCATTCTGGCCAGTGTCTTCTTCCTTGCGTGTTACAAACTCTCCTGGATGAACTTAAGGCAGCAAGATTATCAGGAGATTGTGGACTCTTCCATTAAATGAGCCACAGCTTTACTGTCTGAGTCTGGCTGTGACCACGTGAACAGAACTCATTTCAGCTCCCGTGCCCCGGCGTCGTGGCCAGGTCCTCTCTCTGCCATTTCAGTTCTCAGCTGATGTAGCAATGTCGGTGTGAATTTGTTCTGCTGCATATAACCACTGACATTTTGTCATACACAGAAGGGCACCACACAGGTTGCATGAGCAGAAGCACAGGCTGGCCCACAGAAGGGAAGGCCAAGTCACACATGTTCTTCCTCCCCTCCCCTGGATAAGGCAGTACAGAGGGGTTCACTAGTGACTCTCATTCCTGTGCACTGTGGAAGTAGGAAAATGAGCAGTAAAACCATTGCAGTGGTCAGAGTTCTCTGTAACGCTTCTTAAGTTTTGCCTGCAATATTCTAAATGAAGTAATGCTAAATTTCTGTGGCTAAAACTTGTATTTCCTGTGTGTACAGAAGTCAGTAAAGCTTCTTGTGCTTTGTGGTTAAATTTCTGTCTGAACAATGCAGGAAGCCCAGAGCCCCTGTAGGAAAAGAGAGGCCCCAAACACTGAATCTCCAGTTGTACCACAGCTGGGAAAGGTCCCCAGGAACTACGAGGTCTGTGATGGATCAAAGATCTACCCCTGAAGCAGAGCAAAACCCTTTCTATGGAGCCACTTTCTCTAAAAGAGGTTTTGACTATTATGCAAGGGAGGGGGAAAAAAGGGAGAAAATAAAGGTTGTGTTTGAGGTCAAGGTGTGAGCACTGCTGGTAACACTGACCAGCCTGGAAGGCAGCAGGGACTTCAGTCAGGGTGCCTGGGTCCCACCACTGCAGTTAGAAAGTGGATCTACAAAAAGCCCCAGGGTTCTGTGGTTGCAAACACTGCTCCTGGCCATGCTAATGTCCAGCTGTAAAGAGAAAGGCCAGCATCCAAGACTCTGTGTCAGTGGTCTCCATGCCAACCAGGCCCAGCAGGCACCTCCCCACCCCAGCCGATTGTGCCTCTGTTCCGGGACGTGAGCATTTTCCAAGGAAAAATGCATCACTCAGATCACCCCAACCACTCCAGCTTCCCCCATGGAAAACACATTTTACTTGGAAAAAGCCACAGCAGCAGCAATTGCTTTTATTCCTATGAATATCCCGGAGAGCAGGTTCCCTGACACCAGCCAGCCCAGGTCTGTGTGACACCCACGTCCTCCCACGTCGGTGACCCCCGGCGTCAGGGGGACAGGGCTCCTCAGGCACTGGCACAGGGACAGCTGCCACGACCACTGTTTCCTTGAGGAGCAGGAGGAGCTGGCAGGAGGAGTTGTGCCCACTGCAGGAAGGACAGGAGAGAGGGGAGCAGGTAAAGCAATGTGGTGCTGGGAAAGCCGTGCCCAGCCAAAAATCCCTCTGGTAGCTCAGGGCAGGGCAGTTCCCAGCCCAGAATCTTGCTGTGCTTCTATCAGCTGATTTCTCTCTGGGGCAGATGGTCTTTCTTCCTCTGACTGCTCAGACAGCAGGAAAGCTTCCTTTATGGAAAGTAACCAGGGCAAAAGGCTCCAGCTCCCGGGGCTGCCGTGCCTGTCCCACTCCGCAGGGAGCCGAGCTCGTGACTGTGCCTCACTCCTGCCAACACGTGCTGTGCCTGCAGCCAGCTGGGGACCTGCTGGCAGCGAGGAGCACTCGGCAGCAACACTCCCCAGGAGCCTCCCCTGGGCAGTGGGGATGAGTCCTGGCCAAGCTCCTGAGCTGCCCCAGAGCAGCAAAGCCCCCTCCTCACACCCTCCCTGCCCCCTCGGGCTCCCTGAGTGCAGACTGGCAGAGGCACCCAGGAGCCAAGCAGGGCACAGTCCCCCCCCAGGACCTGGGTGATGGCCGGGAGGGCGCCCAGGGCTACGGAGCGTGGTGCTGCTCCAGCTGTGCCACCGCCTGCAGCAGGTCCTGCACCGCCAGGTCCACTTCTGCCCGCGAGGTGTGTCGGCCCACGCTGAGCCGCAGGGCGTTCTGGGCCACGGCCGGGGGGATCCCACAGCCCAGCAGGATCGGGGAGGGCCTGTGACACAAGGGGTGGGCGGGTTGGACTGAAGGCCAAGGAAACACAGACCCCATGAGGAACCTCCCCAGGCTGGGAGAGGGAGCCCATTGCTCCAGGCAAACCTGTCTCCTGTACAGCACCCTGACTGCTGTCCCAGGGCACCCGCTCTCACTGTGCTTGCTGCCCTACGGAGGATCTGGCTCTTCTCCTCCCAGGAAGAACCTGTGCCATGTCCCCGTGGGTTGGCAACTCTGCCCTATCTAAAGAGCACTGCTCTAGACCAGACCAAAAGCAGCTGCTGTTCCCACCTTCCCCGAGGAGCCATCTGGAGACCCAAACTGGGCTGCAGTGAGTGAGCCAGACACACATGGACACAAGGCAGGCTCCCTTCTGGCAGCGACAGGAGTTCCAAAGTACTTCCAAGCTCAGCTGGATCACCAAAGCCGGGAGGGACAAAGTCCTTCCAAGCAGCAATCAAGCGTTCCAACTGTGTCTCCTGCAATAATCCCCTTCCCAGCCCTTCAGCCCCTCTGGAAAGCTCTGCACTCTCTCTGCTCCAGGTGACACTGCCCAAGCCCTGCACAGGCCCTTTCTCTGCCCCGTTTCCCTCCCTCCTGCCCGCTGTGCCCTTGGCAGACCCCGGGCCCGGAGCAGCCAGCGCTTACCGCTCCCCCTTGTCCGAGTGGCAGGCGGCCCCCACGCTGGCCAGCAGCACCTTGCAGTGAGCCAGCACCCTGTGCCCTGCAGTGACACAGCACAGCTCTGCTCTGTGCCAGGGCCACCCTGCCCCACAGCCACCCTGCCCCACGGCCCTGCCCGATGCCACAGCGGGCACAGGGGCTGTGAGGGGCAGGGGCTTGGCTCCGTGGGCACAGCACAGAGCAGTGCTGGGGGAAGAGCTACCTTGGAGGCCTGGTCCCAGGATGGAGAAGTTAGAGGTGTTGCAGAGTCGCTTGGAGCCCTTAAAGCGACTGTTGAAGTGGATCCTCTCCTTCCCAAAGGCAGCCTGGAGAAATCAGAGGGCTGTGAACTCCTCAAGGTTCACGAGCAGCTCTGCCCTGACGAGGGGGTGGCAGGGCCAGAGGGACATAACCCCCCCTGCTCCAGGCCCTGCTCTGCAGGCTGACACCCCAGGAAGGGCCCAGGTGTGCTCACCTCCAGCCTGGCCTCCAGGTAATCCCGGACATCCCGCATATGAGCCTCGTAGGCCTCCCAGTTCTTGCTCACCAACTCTGCAGCCTGAGGAGATAAAATCCCAACACTCTGATACCTCCCCCTGTGTGTGGTCCCTGGAATGAGAGTCCAGCCTGGAACAGTCTCTGTGATTGCCAGTCCCCTGTGTCCCCCATGGCCCCTCGGTGCCCTGAGCTGTGTGACTGCCAGGGCTGCAAACCTGCAGCAAGTGCCCCGGAGCACCTCATCCCACTGGCACCAGAAGGCTCCATCTCCCTTCCCTGTCGTTCTCCTGCCCTCCTGCACCCTAAGTTTGTCGCTTCTAATGATCAGGAAGCACAAATGGCTGTCCCTGTGCTGGTTCTGCCAGGAAGCACCTGCAGAGAACCACTTCAGCCCTGCCCATCACCAGCTCACCTGGCCCAGGCCAGCGATCATCGGGGTGTTCTCGGTGCTGGAATGGAAGAGGGAAGAGTGAGTTATTTCTCCGGATCAGAAACCCAACCTGTGGCACAGACATTCCCTGGGTGGGACCCCTCAGCACTGGCACCTCCCTGGGAAGGGGGCACTTCCACTCTGGCGTCCCACCTGTGGCGAAGCCTGAGCCCCAGGGAGTTCCACACGTGGATGTGTGTCCCTGCTGTGCCGGGCTGGTCGCCCCAGGGCTGGCAGTGACACAGCTGCCAGCTCAGCTTGGACAAGGCAGCCACCTGTGGCTCGGCCACCAGCCCCAGCTCCTGGGCCACCCCCACCACCTTACCCTGGGCGGAAGCTCCTCTCCTGTCCCCCCCCGAAGAGCAGGGGGTGCAGGGGGGTCGTGCTGCCGGGGCCACGCACGTACAGGGCACCGATGCGGGGGCCATAGAACTGTGGGACAGACAGCACTGTGACCTGGGGACACTGCCAGCCCCTGCCCTGCTCCGGCACACACCCACTGCCCTCCAGGGCTGGGCTGGCCCCTGCCCATCCCACGGGCACAGACCACTGCAGGGCTGTTCCCCGTCCCTGGTCCCCTCCTGCTCCCTGCTCCAGACAGGGCCCTGACCCGCAGGGTCTGCAGAGCCCCAGCCAGGAGGAAAGCTTCGGCCACTGACGGGGCACTGAGCTGTGAGGGCACCCAAAGTCCCCCTGGCACCCCCACAGAGATGTCTGAGAGGGTGAACAGTGGCTGGGCCAGGTGAACAAGACCACACCCTGTCCCCCCCCATGCTGATGAAGGGCCATACCCTGTGCCCCCACAGTGAGGAGGAGCCTTACTCTGTGTCCCCATGGTGAGTAGGGGCTGTACCCTGTGTCCCCACGGTGAGGAGGGGCCACACCCTGTGCCCTCTATGGTGATGAGGGGCCGTACCCTGTGCCCCCACAGTGAGGAGGAGCCGTACCTTGTGCCCCACGATGGTGAGATAGTCCACGCCCAGCTCCTGCACGTCCACACGCCCCTTGCCGATCATCTGGGCCGCGTCCGTGTGCAGCAGGACCTGGGGCAGCCCCTGCCCCGCCCTGCGCTGGTTGAGGGCTCTGACGCGCTGGGTCAGCTCCGCCACGGGCTGTGGAGGGTGAGGGGCTGTGTCCAGGGCCCCCCACTCCCTGCTCAGGCACCTCTTTGCGGGGCTGCCCCACACTCACCATGATGACGCCGGTCTCGTTGTTGGCCAACATGAGGGACACCAGGCAGGTGTTGGGCCGGATGGCAGCGAGGACATCGTCCACCTCGGCCCGCCCGCTCTGCGGGGACACGGGCACAAAGGTGGCTTCTGCGAGTAGAGAACAAGCGTGAGGTTTGCTGGGGAGCCCGAGGGCACCCAGGGCTGGAATGTGGGGCAGCAGGTGCACAGGCACGGAACACGTTCCTGAGGGAATGGGGCACCGCTGGTGGAGTCAGAGCCCTTTTGGGGGGAAGGGGAACAGCATGGAGCTCGTAGGTCCCACCCTCCTCCACAGAAATACCCGGGGAGAAAAGTCCCCCATGCAAACCCCACCCTGCCCCTGTGCCACCCACCTGCCAGGCTGTCCCTGCCCAGCTGCTCCAGGGGCAGGCGGATGGAGTCGTGCTCCACGCTGGATGTCACGATGTGTGGTGTCCCTGGATTGTCCCTGGTCTGGCTCTCGAGGAAGTGCCTGCGGGCGGTGTGGATCACCATGTTGTTGGCCTGGGGACAGGAGACGGAGGGAGGTGAAGGCCCAGAGGAAGCAGGTGCCCTTCGTCTCCACCGACCCCATCGCTGTTTGCTGGGGAGGGGGTCGGGGCTCAGTGCTCCCACCTCTGTGCCCCCTGAGGTGAACACGATGTCCTCAGGCCGGGCCCCCACCATCTGTGCCAGGCTCTCCCTGGCTCTGCCGATCAGCTCCTTGGCCTTCCTGCCTGTGGGACGACATCTGGCAGCTCCTGTGGCCCCCGGACATGGGTCTGGCCCAGGGAGCCCCCCTTGCCCTCCTGGTCCTTACCTGCAGGGTGAGCGCTGCTGGGGTTGCCCCAAGCTTGGCTCAGGGCATCCTGCACGGCCTGGGCTGCCTCGGGGGCCAGCGGGGTGGTGGCGTTGTGGTCCAGGTACACCCTCCTGGGGGAAGGGGGCAGGTGAGGAGCAGCGGGGGAACGGGGGGGGGGGGTGACAGGGCAGGGCAAGGTCTCACCCCTCAGACGGGTCACAACGCGCCTCTGCCGTCTCCGTCCCAGCGCCCATCGCTGCCTGCACTGTCCTGTCCTGCTGCCAGCACCGCCGAGGCCCTGCCCTGGCCCCGCCCTGGCACCCGGGCACAAACACGTGGGCAGCACAGGAAGGACCAGGACCCGCCCTGCCTGTACCAACACCCACCAATCAGCTCCCTCCTGCCTGTACCAACACCCACCAATCAGCTCCCTCCTGCCTGTACCAGCACCCACCAATCAGCTCCCTCCTGCTTGTGCCACCCCCACCAATCAGCTCCCTCCTGCCTGTGCCAGCGCCCACCAATCAGCTCCCTCCTGCCTGTACCAGCCCCACCAATCAGCTCCCTCCTGCTTGTGCCAGTCCCACCAATCAGCTGCCCCGTTACAGCCGCGCTCCCCGCTCGCTCTCACGCGCCGTTCCCGCAGGCCGCGGCGGAAGGGGCGGGGCCGGGCGCGCGCGGTTACGGCGCGCGAGGGGCGGTTCCGGCGGGGGCGGAAGTGGCGGTGCTGCCCCAGTTCAAGATGGCGGCGGCTCGGCCAGGCCCGGCCCCGCGCGCCCCGCACAGGCCCCGCGCGGCCCCGCGCGCGGTGTCGGTGAGCGCGGGGGGGGGGCGGGAGCGGGGCCAGGGCCGTGACTGTGACTCAGCACCGGGACTGTGACTCGGCACCGCGGGCCCCTCACCCCGCCCGGGACGGCGGGACCTGCGCGGGGCTGTGCCTGGGACGGCCGCACCGCGTGGGTGCGGGCCGGGCCGGGGCTGAGCGGGGACTCAGGCGCTGCCGGGCCGGGCCGGGCCGGGCCCGCTCTGCCCCTGGTGTGCTGGGACTCCCAGCCCGGCGCGGGGCGCGGCACCGCCGGGCGCCGGCTCACGCTCCGTATTAGGCTCGGAGCCGCTCCGGGGAGCGATCGGCCCGCCCGCAGAGCCGGGCAGGGGCCGGGCCGGCGCTCCGGCCGCACGGGGCCCAGAGCCCCGCTCTCACCGGGGGCCTGTGCGGGAACACGGCTCCCCTGACACCCCTCTCCTCTCGCTCATCCCCCAGGTCCTGTGGTAGCCCCCGCACCTGAGCAGGGATGGAATCACTGGACACCGAGGTGCGGGCACGCAAGACTCTGGGCACTGTGGAGTACGTGGAGTCGTCGGGCTTCGCGCAGGGGGTGCTGCCCACCAGGAAGGATGTGGTGCAGAACATGCTGTACCTGCTGCAGCCCAAGAGGGCCGGCCAGGCCCAGCGCTCCAAGGAGGACGCGGCACAGCTGCTGGCAGAGCACCTGCAGGAGCACTGGCTGGTCTGCAACCTGCACACCATCGCCACGCAGAACATAAAGAAACTCATTCTCAAAATGTATGAGGAGTTCACCAGGTTGTACCAGACCAGGAAGCAGAGACAGAACCAGAAGTTCTCCGATCGGGCCGACAGATTCAACGAGAGCTCGGAGAAGCTCTTTGATGTGTTCTGCACAGACACACAAATGAGGGATAAACTGGAGGAGTACAGTGGGATAAAAATGACCAGCATCGAGTGGAAGTTTCTGGAAGACCAGAGGAGCGAGAGAAAAATGTACTACGAAGATTTCACAGAGAAGCAGGAGCTGAAGATGATGGAGAGGAGGCAGAAGATCCAGTGTCTGGAGCACTTCAGGAAGCTCGCCAGGGAGGAGAAGGAGGGGAGCAAGGCGAAGGCGAGGGACCGGGGCGAGGAGCAGTCGGACGAAGGCACGAGCGTGGACGAGTCGTACCCCGCGGAGGAGGAGAACGGCGGCGCCCCGGCCTTCTCGCTGCGGGGCCGGCGCAAGCGCCGCTGCACCGCCAGCACCACCGCGCCCCTGGAGGGCGAGCACATACGGATGAGCATCCGCAGGGTCAGGCCTGGCTTCTACGAGACTGTGGAGAAGGTGAAGAACTGCTAGCGCCCGCCACGGGGTGGGCACGGCTGCTGGAGTGCCAGGGGCAATGCACACCGGAGGCAAGTTTGAAACCCCACCACCCACTGGAAGTGATTGTTGTGGATCCCCAAGCCAGAGCTCAGGAACATCCTGCCTCCAGGGAAGAGGGCTGGGATGATGACAACTGCAGCAAGGACTAAACCATGTGGATTTGGAAGGATGAGCTGTTAGTGGCCAGCGATGCCAAGGCTCAAATGTGGCCGATGATCCAAGGTTACGTAGCGTATAAGCCTCTTATTCCAAGGTCCTGTCTGCATCCGTGGAGTTTGGAAGTCTCTCAACATTTCTGAGCCAGTGGTGGCCTAACAGTACAAACCAGGACTGGGATTTACTGCAGGGTAATAGCTCGGACTTGCTGCTCCCAGAGAATCCATGCGCTGAGGAGCCCTGGCTGGCCCTCGGCCCTTCCCACAGGAGGCGGTGTTCCTGCAAGGGAGGAAGTGGGTTTGGAGCACGTGTCACCCAGCCCTAGAGAGGCACACTGCGCTTTTGGGAGGGGATTGCTCTCCTGCTCAAGGTGGGGGGAGACATCAGGAGACAGTGGAGTGCTTTGGCTGTAAAAGCATTGGTGATTCTGAATGTTTTATTCTAGATTCTATTTTAATGATGTTTCCTCGATCAGGATAAACCTTCCTGTAACTGGATGAGTTTTATCATGAAGTCCCTAATATAGGATCTGGGGTGTGAATCCTAAATGAAGTGGTAATGTTTTATCTTCGGGGGGAGGGGGGTAACATAGGGGGAAATGCAAATTGCAGTATTTAGTTTTAAGATGAGAGTAATTTTATAAACTATTATCCTACCTTTTTAAGATATAGGGAAGAAAAAACCTTCCCAGGTGTGGGTAGCTGTGGTGTTCTCAGCAGCAGGCACCCGGATCTGGGCTTGCTTTTCCGCCCCAAGGTCATGCAGACCAGCAGTGGGGAGATGGTAGTTTTCCACCCAGAGATTGTTTGAACAAAGCGTGACCCTCTTGCCCACGTACATCCTGAGCAGTGACGTGTCTGTGACTTTTTTAGTTAGAGTTGCTTTACTGGTTTTTAAAGATGAGAGACTTGAACTTCCAGTGAAACCCAGTGCTGGAGATGTTTCTGGTGAGGTTCCCAAACCTTGCCAGACCACACTGAAAATGGAAAACCCCCAAGTCTCTATTTGTCCACAAAAGATCTCTGGTAGAAAAAGCGCAAACTTGCCTGGTTTTAAAATTTACCTTCCAGTGTGAATGTTGGTTTCCCCACTCCAGTATCTCAGCTTTTCCCCATTTCTTTCCTCTCCGTCCTGCACATCATTTACTGACATTAACTCGTGCTCTTTCATTCTTTGGCTTTTGCTCCCTTTAACAATAAATGCATGTACAAATAATTTTGACAGTTCCTTTCCTTTTGATGAATCAGTGTTCGGACTGCTTTGAAGTCCCATGCCAGAGGAGGAAGGGAACACAGAGCAGCTCTGGTGCCGTGGGCAGGGCTGGGCTGGCAGCCCCGGCTGTGCTGCCCCAGCAGGCCCCGTGTCCCAAGTGCTGCGGCGCCTTCCCGGGGCTCCTCAGGCAGGGCCAGGGCCTCGCTCTGTGTCTGAGCAGCTCTCCATGGGAAGATGCTCCAGGACGTGTAGTGCCGTGTATTCACCTCACTCTAGAGTTACAGGTTTGATTGCAGCACCCCCAGCCTCCGCTGCCTGACACTTGCAGCCTCCCTCTCTCCTCTGATGTGCTTCACTGACTTCCCCGTGCAAATTATGTCACGTTTAAACTATTTGCCTTCCAGCCCTGAAGTGCTGGACTTGAGCCTCTCACTGGGCCTCTACACCAGCAGCTCTGTTTCAGCAGGGAATATAGCCAAGCTCGGACCTCGCCGAAGTAGAAGTGTTTTAATAACTGCTGTAACCCCCCTTGTATTACAGATATAGCTGACAGTATAAATGCTTGTGTGTAAAGCAAATCCACCGGGGTTGGCTCGGATACGGAACACAGCTGTATAGTGCTTTATGATTTTCAGGGATTCAGGGAATTTAAGGTTGTCAAATCTGACTTCCTGTTTACCACAGGGAATTACATTTCATTCAGAAGCCCCACGCTCAGCCTGCTGGTCTCAGTTGAACTGACGTGTCTGACAGAAAGTTGAGCCGAAGGTGTCAGCAATCTGCTGCCTTCCTCATTGCCTACTTAGTGATTTGCCACCTTCACTGTTTCAAAAAATAAAAAGAAGCAAAAACAAGTCCAACCATCTTCTAGGCTGAGATTCTCTTCGTGCCATCCTGTACAGGCTGAGCAGTGTGTATCGCATTGAAATCATATTTGGGGCTTTTTTAACTGAGTTTGACTGTGGATAGAGCCAAAGCCTGGCTCTGTTTCTGCTGCAACAGGGGGGAAATTTCTAAATCATGTATTCTGATTACTCTTCTTTGGGACCATGGTGCCTTTTTAATCAGGACAGCAAATCTTGTCCCAGGATTCTGTACTTTTGTACGTTAACGGTTGTTGACTTTCCTTTTTGGTGTGTCCCAAATAAATTAATATAACATACCTCTGGGCTTTTGTTTCTTCTTTCTAAAGGGGGAGGAAAGAGGAAACTGAAGCTAAAATAAATCTTCTCTGCTTCAGCTCTCCCTCATGGGGCCTGCAGGAGCAGCTGTGGTGTGTGGAGGGGACTGTGCGGGGCAGCAGTAGGGAACCTGCTGGAAATGGGAATCTAGCCTGGAGCAGCCCAAGGTTAAGGGGGGGAGGGATGAGAGTTCTGCATGTGGGCTTTTGGTGCCTCAGGTGTAGGATCGGCATTGGACACAAAGGCCTGATCCCACACGTGGGTGTCCCACTGCTGCCTGTTCTGTCCTGGCTCAGGGATTTGGTGTGGGAGATGAGTGAAGGGCAGGGGTGTCCAAGAGACACACAGGGCCATGGTTTGCGCCACAGACCCTCAGCGAGGAAGGGAAGTGGTAAAAGAGGAAATGCTGGAAAGGGCGTGTTTTGCTTCAACGGCTTTTGCAGGAGGGAACCAAGTGCATCCCAGGGGTGTGGACACTTTTGCTGGACACTGAGTCACTGATTTAACCGGGCATTTGGGGAGAAATATCTTCAGCCTTCGCACCCTGAACCTTCCTGCAAGGGGAGCAGTAGAAAGGAGAGGACACCCTGAAACCCCTGCGCCCCAGCCTGGGGCCCTGGCAGCCAGGCTGGGCACGTGCCAGCCCCAGGGAGGTTTTACATCCCTCTGCAAGCAAAAGCTGCCTTTTCACAGCCCTTGCAAGTTCCTTAGAGCTGCCCAGGCCAGCCCTAAGCGAGGTCGCGCAGAAATCCCCGGCTGATCTCCCAGCACGGATGTGCCGCTTCACGTGGCACACAGCAGCCACTGCTCTGCCTCCTGCCCGGCTCAGAAAGGGGAAGGAACACGAAAAAACAACCCAAAATGCAAATCACGGCACTACTGAGCAGGCTGGATGTGGAAAACAATGCCTGTGACTCAGCACAGAAAGAGTCACAAAGCTGGAATTTAAACAAGTCCAGGCCCAGCACTGTGGGCACACGGCTCACGGTGTGTTGGGCAGTGCCTGCTCACCAAGGAGGTGGATGGGTACAGGCAGGGGGAAGCGCCAGAGCCTTGTCCTAGAGCTGCCAGACAGCTTAACACAGGGTGACAGAGACAAATTGGGGCACTCCAGGGAAAAAAGTTTTCCCAGAAAGGGGAGAGCAGACACGTGAAGCTGTGTCATGACTGTGCTTGTGCTCAGCACCTGTGGCTGGGCTCCAGGGGAGCTCCAGGAGGGGAGATGAACCTCCTGCTTCACCTGACACCCACACTTTGTCCCCTGGAGGAGAGACACAAGGCACAGGCAGCGGTGAAGCTGCCCCCACCACGGCAGAGCTGGGCACTGAAATCCCGGTGTGGGGCACAGGAACCCAGCACGACACCTGCCTGACCCTCATCCCACTGCTCCCACTGCCTCCATGAAGAGTCCCCCTGAATGCTGGAAGGAGCTGCAGCGAGCATTTCCAGGGCGAACATGTTAATTCATTAACCAGACACGCTCGAGGGTATTTCCTGCTCTCGCGGAGGGTGTTGTCTTGTTATTCTTCCCGAGCTTCTGGACAGCAGATGCTTCCTCCTGGCACAGCTTCGGAGCCAGCACATACTGCTCCCATCTCCTAAGACTACTAATCCAAGTTCCTCCCTCTATTGCCTGGCCCTGCCCCACAGAGTCCCCTCTCACACACTCTCTGGTCCCACTGAGGTTGGGCTGTGCTGTACAGTGGGAGCCAGCTGGGGTGGGGACAGCTCTGCGCAGCCACAGCAGCCCTGCTGGGCAGCAGGGACACATCTCCAGAGGGAGGGAGGCTGGAAATTGATCCGGGGGAAATCCAAACGTTTGGGAATTGGGGGAGGAGCTTTCTCTTTGCTGGCCACCTGGTACAGAGCAGCCAGGCCCTCGGACTTCCCAATGCCAGATGCTTTCAAGGACTCAGTTTCCCCTGGCTCCAAGTTTTTTACAGCTGCACGTGTCCAGTGAAATCACTGTATTGCCCAGTTTTGGGAAGGGGGTGAGGACAGAACTGCAGGCAGCACCTGCCCAGGTGTTCCCTGGGCTCTCTCATGGCACTACCATGGCTCTGGCAGCCTGTTTGCTTGAATGGTACCCCAACAACCTTTCGTGGAGTTTCTTTGTGAGTCAGTGCTTCCTGCTGCCCCGCAGAAGCTGCCTACAACCTCAGGAGACCAGCTGGCCCAGCCTCCAGCAGCATTTTACACCCTTTTGCAGCCCATGTGCACCAAAATCACTCCCACCTCGGCTCCCTCCTCTCTGGAGGCTCCCCCCTCTCTGGAATGCATTAATTACGGGAGCACGGCTGACGGTTCCCCCTGCAGTACCCTCAGGGTGTTCCTATCTTGGGACAAACAACATTGCCCTTCAGAGACTGTGGGAAGGGAAGGGAGGGTTTGGGGGGAGGACAAACTCAAAGACCTGACTATCTTTTGTTGTATCATATCCCTTCTGTTGGGCCGTTACTTCCCACGTGCCCCTGCAGTTTCTGGATGAGAGAAGCAGGTGCTGTGGAAAGTCCAGAAATTTTGGGAGACGCCTGGCTGACCACAGGGACGAGAGAGGCGGGACCCTCGGGTGGTCCTTGCGGGGCTGGGCGTCCTTCACCGGCAGCAAAGCTGAGCCGCCCTCAGGCCGGCTGTGGGTGCACAGCGCTGGGAGCAGCCCGACCCCAACCCGCGGCCGGGGGGCACAGGGGGCACAGGGGGCACAGGGGGGCACAGGGGGCACAGGGGGGCACA